CTGCATTGTCAGTGGTCAATACTAAAAAAACTGTTGGTTAAAGAAAACTAGGAGTTTGTTCTAAAAATCAAGTTTAATAGCCGCTGCAAGGGTTGTTGATGGTAGCGTTGTTGATGGTAGGGTTGTTTTGACTGCTCAGTATCTGAGCATTGTTGTACCCTGATCCAGAAAGTGTAAACAACCTTTATTCTTTGAATTTCAAACTTCTATCATATGATTTTATTCACTTCATAAATACAATTAAATAAATCACGTCCCAGAAAGCTTGAGCAAATGCAAGTGTTACATGGTGTTTTGTGACTGCTACAGGTGTGTTTATCAATTTATGAACTGATTTGGGACGGGTTTTCTGATGGGGAAAATAAATAAAATACACCATTTGCTTAGGTGTGTTATGCTCACCCCAAACTTGTCCACATTGTATAAATATCCCATGCTTTGTAACATTGAGAATTTGAGATGTTTATGCCCCATGTCCTACTAAACCAATTAACCACCTATGAAAGCACACATTTTCTTGGGAATCACTCATCTTTTTTGCCAACTAAATCTATTTAACATGTTTTAAATTGAGAAATATTATGTGATAATTAAAATTTTGTACCAAAAAATGTAAAAAAATAAAGTTGAGTATTTTTTAAACTAGGACAAGTAGAGGGTGGGGAGCTCACACCAAGGCAAAAAGTTCGGGATATATTATTTATTTTCCCCTTTTTTGACTATACGTCTTTGTGAACCATTCTGGGCTGTTTTGCCTAGGGTTGGGGCCGGGCCGGTTCCGGTTTGGGCCTGGGCTTGGCCGGGCTTTTGTTTGGGAAGTAGGGAATTAGAATTGGTCCGGGTAGACGGCGGTTCCGGGCCGGGCTGGTTTCCGGTTCATTTTTTTATTTTAAATTTCTTTTGATTTTCTAAATAACCCTTGACCCCCCTTCACCCCCCAAAACACCTGGCCCAACCCGGTAGAAAGTTAAAAAAAAATTGAAAAAACAAAAAATAATTTGGCTTGAACCGGGCCTGGTTCGCATTTTAGGGGGAATTAGACCGGTTCTGGTTGGCCCGAATTGTCTCAAGACTGGGTACTGTTCTGGGGCCAAACAGTACCGGCCCGGTCTGGTTTTGGGCCGGGCGGCCCGACCTGAGCCCACCCCTAGTTTTGCCCGTGACTTTGCACTACTGCTCAATACTCAGTATGTCCATATGAAAATACTTTCATCTTCTATACTGGCAAGAGAAAGTTGCAACATTTTATTTGGTATTGTTCTGTACTTTTGTACTTCGTATATGGTATAGGGACTGGAGGATGCCCATGTATAGTTCGTGTCCTTCATACACGTGATCTGACTATTAGTAATGTGTGTTGCTGCTCTTCAAACTATTGGTAATGTTTTATTGGAAAACCGTTGCTCTTTTAAAAATCATAGGTTCGATCAAGGATTCTAGGATTTAAGTTCCATAGAATAGGTCATATAACCAAAATCGTGGTTCTTCAAGCATATAATACGCCGTATGACTTATGCTCTTTCAAAAATCATAGGTCACATATACAGAATACATACTTACATGGTATTGAAAATTATCTTTTATGTTAATACAAAATAACTCAAATTTAAGTTACTATTTTGTCTATGATTTCTTGTCAATTTTTTGCTAATTTCATTTCAACCAACCGGTGTGAAAAAACTAGTTTGCAACTGTTAGGGGTGGAAAACCAGTGTTGGTGTACGCAGACTAGAGAAAGAATGTTTGTGTATATACATTTTTTTTGTGTACACTGACATTTAAAGAAAAACTGTGTCGGTGTGCATAAAATGTAAAAAGAGAAAAGGAAAGATTACGACAAAGAAGAAGATGATGAAGGTGAATATAACGTTAGGAAAAGAGAAAGGAAGAAAGAAGAAAGAACAGGATCAAGAAGAAAGAGAGGGAGAGCGGGGAGAGAAAAAGGGGGGAGGATGAATTAAAAATTGGGGGGGGGGGGGGGGGGGTTATATATGGTGTACCGCTGGGTTTACCTAAAGAATTTTTCATGTCAATTATTTTGAAATATATTGTAAAATATACATCCGGTATGAACTAGGGATGGACCCGGGCTGGTTCGGGCTCCAGAGCCATTCGGGCTTTTTCTCTGGGAAGGGAGAACCGGAACCGACCCGGGTAAGCAGTGGTTCCGGGCCTGGCCGGTTCCGGTTCAATGTTATTTTTTTTATTATTTTCTTTGCTTTGTAATTAACCCATGACCCCCCCCTTCACCCCCATCCCCCAAACGGCCAAATCCCCCAAAACACCCAGCCAACCCGATAGAAACAAAAAAATTGAAAATAAAAAAAAAATGGTCAGGACCGGTTCCACTTTTAGGAGGCCCGAACCGGCCCGAAGACCGGCCAACCGGTCTGGGCCCAAACAGTACCGGGCCGGTCCGGTTCGGGCGGCCCGACCCGAGTCCACCCCGAACCTTCGAACCTTTAAAATTTATAATGTTGAGTCTGCTTCGTACTAGTTCGTATCCCACTATCCCCTACAACCCTCTTCTGAAAGGGTAGTTTAGTTAGAGCTTTCAAACGGGTCAACCTGATCCAATCTAACTCAGTCCGTAATGGGTTATGTTTTATGTGGGTTGGGTCAAGCCAAGTAGTTTAATCAAAGGTTAGAATTTCTACAACCCTAATCCAACATAACTAATCCGTGAGACCGTGAGTTTAATGGATTGACCCGCAAGCTAATGTAAAAACAATATACTATGTATAACTTAAGATTTTTAAAAATTAATTATCCTAGAGTATATATTTATTGGTAAGTGGTAATAAAGGAAATATAAGAAATCAAAATACTAAAAGCCCAATACTTGTTAAGTTTAATTAAAAAATATTTAATACTACTTATATGAGAATTTGAAAGCTATAAGAGGGTATGTAATAAAAATACTCATTGTATAAATTTAAAAATCTACTTAAACGTTTTGATTGATTATTTGTAAATCATGACCATTAATTGTTAAATATTGTATTAAATTTCCCATAAAATATATGTGTCGACATTTTATTTAAATACTTATTATAGAAATAATAACTATTTTACGATGTATGATTTTTTTTGAATTGTAACTATAATAATTTTGGCAGTAAAAGAACAATATTGAAGATACTAAAAGTCAAAACTATTTGTGTATAGATAAAAGAAAAATATTGATAACAATGATTTTTGACCCGCGAAACCCGTAAACTAAATGAGTCAGAAATTCACAACCCCAATACACCAATAAACGGATTTAAATGGGCCAGCCTGTGGGTATCGGCCCATTTTGACGGCTCTAAGTTTATTGATCAATACACCACCAGGAAGGGATAAACCGGGCCCGGTCCGATTCCGGGTCAGGCCCGGGCGGGCTAGGAAATTTTTGAGTACGGCCCGGGAGTCTACCGCCTACCGGTACAGGGCCGGGCTGATTCTTATGTTTTTTTTAGGTTTTCTTAGGTTATTCCAACCCCCACCCCCACCCCCCCACCCCCAAAATCCCGCCAAAACACCCAGCCCAGCCCACCTACCATAGGCCTAAACCCAAAAAGACAAAAAAATAATTAAAAATACCCGGACCAGTCGGGCCAGTCCCCAATTATCCAACCCCGGAACCGCCCCAATTAACCCCCGGGTCAGGCCTAGGCCCGGTATCGGAACCGGCTCACTGGGCCGGGCCCGCACAGTGCCGGGCCGGTCGGACCGGCCCTGGGCCAAGCCTACCACCAGGGATGGATCTAGGATTTTGACTCGAGGCGTCGAATTTTTTCCGTTAGTATAGAGGACAAATTATATAAAAGTTCCTAGTTTTGTAATGTTTAATTATCTCTAATTTCTTGCTTGTACTGTAATTAATAATCACCCGCATCAAATGGCACTACGAATCAATGTAAATTAGTTACCGGGTCATAGGACTTTCCAAGAAAAACCTTAACCAAGGAAATTACGTACACCCTCATCTCTTCTCCTGTGACTTATTAAATTTGATTGATATATGGAACATTAAACTAAATATTGTGTGATTTAATTTTGTATAAAGCAGAACCCGCACGGGTAGCTCAATTGGTCGAGTGGTGGGAGATTTGGATCAATGGACCAAAGTTTGAATTCCCGCAGAAACCGGGTGGAGGTCACAGAACCTGAAATAAGGTTGGGTGTCTGGTGCACACGGGTGTATGGGCCTACTGCCACTTTGCTGACTGAGTCACCGTGACTAACCTCCCCACCATCCTGTCGGGTCAGGGCCGCGGGGTAGGGGGGTGGGGGTGGGGGTGGGGGTGGGGGAGCTCCTAGGGTGTGAGATTCCACCTTTTGGATCAAAAGTTTGTATAAAGCAGATAAATAGAAACTATAAATAAATTGTTTAAAAGAATAAGTGACAATTTTTGTAATGATCGAAAATAAAAGTTGACAAAGTGATATGCAAAGAAGGGACTAGGGAGCACAAATAACTAATCAATTTGTTACTTCTCTTGGAAATATACGTACAAGCCGATTTAGATAGGACTTGTTAATGGTGGACTGCATTCCGAATTAGGACCGTGTTCAATTGTTCATTAGGTTGAAAATTTAAGCCATATCAGACGCTACTATTTTTTTTGTATTATAAGATAGTAGTGTCTGATATTTTTTTGTGACCTAATGAACACCATAAATCAAGCCATATTATTATTTTTTGTACTGAAAGATGGTAAAGAAAAAAATAGATAGTATGTTATATGGATATGTGTCTTAACCATCATCCTACTATTTTGTGTGTGTTTTGCGATAATATGTGCTCTTCAAATATACCATGAAAATGTTGATCACCCATTGCAAAATATCAGTCAAATCAGCTATGTTTGATTAAACCAGCAAAGAAAATGCGGATCGGTCATTTCAAGGACATAGGCATAGTTCGGATTACGGTGGTGATGAACTGATGATGATGATGATGATGATGATGATGACGACGACATAGGGGTTATCCAATGATCTCAACAATCTGGTAGTTGAAAAGAAAATGTAAATACATTTGAGATGGGGAGAGCTCAGGCTAAATGCAAAGAGTAACATACACAAAAAAGAAGAAATGCTATACTGTATTTAGGATATCGGAATGTTATGTAATATGAAAAATGGCTATTGTAGCAATCAACAAGCTCTCATAATTTACAAGGTGTTGTTACGTCGTTACATCAGCAAAAATCCATACACCTTCTGGTTTAGTCAGACTCATATTCTGAAAGGAACTTACAATCCGAGTCCTCATCAGATTCATATCGATTTCTTTCAGCAGCAAGGCGACTGTATGAAGATTCTTCCTCTAAAACACAATTGATTTCCTTTCTATATAAACCTCGACTACGGTCCAGGAATCCTTTACCCATCATACCAGCCAACTTCTCCCTTAAATCGACAAGGGGGTGCTTCTCAATGAGTTGGCTGCGATCATACGCTTCTCGAAGGACAACAGTTTGTGTGTCACCCTTTTTGGAAATGTAAAAAATTCCTGGATGCCTCTCAAACACTTTGGTGAATTTCTGGGGCAACCCCAACGGTTTACGGAGATTGCTCACATTTTTCCTCTCTGTCATCTTCTGCAAAGTAAGGTGCAAAAGCTCATGAAAGACTCCCACAATTCTCTTCTCTGAAACATCCGTGCGGGGATCCAAATGTGAGGCATCTGCAAAAGGAGAAGTATAAGGTAGCTTCTGCCACTCCTCTAACCACTCCATAAACTTCCTTCTCAAACCAAATCCCCTTGTGAATCCGATAGGAAAACCCAATGTTCCATCCTTCATCAAACTCTTCATTTCCAAATGGGAAACTGCCAAGCTATCATCCCAGAGTAAAAGCTTTAGTCCCACACGATCATCACAAAGGCGAACAAAAGAAAACAATTCGGAAGCATTATTGGTGAACAATTTCCTGTAATCATTCGGCAAACCCATATCCCACTTCAGCTGATCAAGGGTTTGCAGAGGGAGCGTTCTATCCTTAGTTATCATAAGAAGCTTCCTCAGCCGGTTAACTATATCCATATGACATAGCCTACGTATCTCAATTTCTTTTTGGTGAACCTCTAGAGCGTCGGAAGTTAATCTGTAGCAAGGAACTGGAGTTCCACCAGAATCCCGACGGTAAAACTCCTCGAAGATGTTCGGGTATCTTCTAAGAAATGTAGAAAGCTTGAGGTCAAGAGGGAGGCCAAGCTGGCGAGGGAGATGGTAAATGGGAAGCCAAAGCTGCGGTTCGGAAGCAATGACGGAAAGAAGAATGGAGGCAGCCTTAAGCTCTCTCCGGCCAGCTACTGTGGTGTCCAAGACGCTATCTTTTACCCACTTCAACTTCACGTTGACTAGAGTTCGCTTCTGATGATGACTCGAAGCGGCGTTATTTTCTCCGGATATTGTCCTCTTCAGCATTTCATCGAACGGGTCGCGTACATTTTCCCAGTATGAGCATTTACTTGAACTACTGGGGTGGGCAATCGAATATATGACGGTGGGTTATTGACAAGTAATCGCTGCTAAACATAGGCAAGGTGCAACACGGTCTGGAATCTACATCTATTTTTCCTCCTGCCTGCCAACATTGCAGCTATATAACAGCGGCGGAACCAGAAATCGTAACTTGCAGGGGCACATTAACAAATAAATTATAAACATCACAAATATAACAATAAACCAAACTATAAAATTTAAATAAAACAACTAATTAAAGAGTACCTTAATTTTGGTGTATAAATTATTCGATGAAGAACCACCAATGCTCGTCCGTTTAGATTTCGGTGTATAATATCGTAACATAGCAATTGTTTGTCAAACAACCTAGACCAACTACAATTGAAATAATATGAGTATCATTGTACAGATTAAATTATAACAAAACAACATTAACTAAATTTACAATATGATAACATTTTTAATGATATTATCACAATATAATTCTAAAACATTCAATAGTGTACTTGAATTCAACAAAAAAAAGTATACAACTATTAGCAATTTATTTGAATTCAACGAATAAAATTCAACAAATAAACAATTTTAAATGAAATGATCAGAAAAGAAATTAGGTTAAGGCGTTAAGCGGCTTACCTGGAGTCTAGAGATGGGAGCACCGTCGCACCGCCCACCGGAGAATAGGAGATTAAGACGGAAATCGAAGGGCCGAACTGCCGAGGGGTTGGTCCGTGGTCTACCTCTCGTCTTCTTCCGTGGTCACACGCCGACTCGCAGCAGCGGCAGCACTCCGCCAGTCCTCCGTCGCTGTCTGCCTGTGTCGCTGAGATGCTCGTTGTCGTCGTTGAAGCTTGTACGCAGCAGCGGCAGCCGACTAACGCTAAGGGGCTAACGGGAGTTGGGCACTTGGGCTGTTAGGAAAAGGATTTATGGGCCGGCACATGAGCACATCCGCACAAGGATGGGCTAAGGGAAAGGGGTTTTGGAATTGGGCTGCAGGGGCTCATTATAATACGGAGTACATATTAAAAAATTATCCAAAGGAAGGTAGTCGTTAATCTAAATTCTCAATTAAGAATGTTTTTACTTATTTTTCAGATGAGGGCAATTTTTTCCTTGTCATCCAATTTTCACCATATCACCTACTCCACACCATTCATCGTCATCAAGCATTCCACATCCAAACTAATGCATATGCATCTTGCAACCCACTAGACTACAGGTGGATTTGTTGGTACAATCACACTTTTACAAATATTTAACATCTATATATGTTTAATACGATGTATTCTGATATATGCAATTCAAAAAAATTTAAAATAACTCTACATTAATGAAATAGAATGAGAAACAAATATGAGAATGGCTGGACTAATTCATCGCAGATTTTATAAAAACTCTTATATTACTAATGTAAAAATATAAAACCCAACACTAAAATACAGTTTTTTTTTACAATCATAATGTAAGAATTTTACAACTCTAAGATGGATTTGAACCTATATTGACATTCATTTAACATATATAGTACTATATATATTTAAGCACACGACAACACCAACTTAATTCATATATTAATCGTCCCTTTAGAGATATATTACTCATTCTTCAAACAATCAAAGAGTATGATAACATAACATTAAAAGAGAATATGATAAATACTTAATTTGAGATATACAAATAAAAAATAAAAATTCAATTAAAAATTACAACAAAAACACAATTTGATATATGCTATATATGAATAACTTAAGATAAATCTACTCTAAATAAAATAAATAAATAAATAAATAAATGTCAACGAGGCTCAAATCCTCCCCAGACTTGTAAAATACTTAAATTATGATTGTAAAAAACTTGTATTTTAGTGTTTTTTTTTATTTTTGTACACAAATTTATACTTTTACATGTTCTTGCACTAGTAATATACGATTTTTTATTAAATTTGGGATGAATTAGTCCATCCATTCTCATTTATTTGTTTCTTATTTTATTTAATCAATGTAGAGTTATTTTAATTTATTTTTGAATTTAATATATCAACATACGTTGTATTAAAAATGTATAGATGTTAAATATTTGTAATGGTGTGATTGCACCAACAAGTCAATGTAGTCTACTGGGTTGAAAGTTTCAAATGCATCATTTTGGCCGTGAGTTCAATTCGTGGGGGATAAAAGTTTTTTTTACATTCTAAAAGAATACCCAATGGCTGATGACGGTGAATTATGTGGAGTAGATGATGTGACGGAAATTTAATGACAAAGAAAAACTACACTCATTTGGAAAATAATTTTAAAAATACCCTTAATTGGTAATAAGATTGGAGACTACCCTCTTTTGGGAAAAAAAACTCCCCAATAGAGAGGATCTTCAAATACTCGGCTAGATGTTTTAGTTACACATTTAGTCTGTATATCAAATTTAGTCCACATATTTAATTGTCCACTTTTAATACTTCACTAATTTTTCTTGATTATTTGTGTTCCGTTTTCATTAATTTTAATCACCGGAAATATTGATGGAAGCATCACATGTGAGCTAAAACATGTATCAAAAGTAGTCAAAGACGTAGATCAATTGTGAATTTTATTAATGTTTTTTTGGAACAATGAAAATAGGTGTTTTTTTTATCACAACATTCAAGTAGGGAACAAACAAATAAAAGGACCACTCTCAACCGTCGGCTCTCGAACCAAACTTAGAGTCAATCACATTCTATAAAGCAATATGACTCGATGATCTTGTAATGAGCATAACTGAGCAAAAGATGGTCAAAATAGACCTCTCATCAACAATAAACTGGCCACTCATAATGCAAGAGTTTGACACAATGAGAAATAATACGCTAAAACAAAGATAGTCTGACCAACATAAAAAACAATACTCCCTCCGTCCCATTTTGGTTGTCTTACTTTCCTTTTTGGGTTGTCCAAAAAAGAATGTCATGTTTCTCTTTTTGGTAAGAAATTTGTGGTCCATATCATTTCACTTCATTCTACTCAAATTTCAACCACAACTTTTACTTTTCAACCACTATATTAATAACCGTGCCAAATTGAAATGAGACAACCATTATGGGACGGAGGTAGTAACAAAAGTAACATTATTAAACTTGAGCTGCATACCCAAAACCGCGATGGGCTCCCGCTGTCCTTTCTTGCCATAAAGCTTCCTTAGACCTCTCGGCGGGTCTGGTGTCCGGAACACATCTCCTTCCTATTTTTTTGGATAATCCAGAGCCATGCTATCTCCACTTGGTTCCTCTTTCTCTTGTTCCTTCCACAGTCTCGATCATGCATTTCTGATCTCCAGGAACTTCATTCTAGTTGCTTCTGCATCCCCTGTAATCTTCTTCCCGGAATCATCAGCCGCAGGGAAGACCCAATTCTGTCTCCCTGCCTCCAAGCGCCCATCCACTCCACCTTCTTTGCTCTGCTTATTTTTGTGCTACTTTATACCAATACCAACAAATGAAAATCCTTCCTGAACCTGCAGCCACTTCTTTCAGATATTAAATTATTATTTTTTTTATTAATATTTAAATGAGTGACTGTTAATAGTAATTTGGAGGTTGTGAATAGAATAATTACCCTATACAAAGTCGTGCTATGTTTGAACATGAAACTTTTTGTATTTCAAAGATTGTGAAAACATATACCCTTTCTTCCTAAGGTAAACCTGAAATACAAAGCTATACACCATAAAGACAAAAAGTAAGGCATAAATTCGGCCCGTTGTTTTTAACACAAGATAACTTTATGATTTAAAGAGGGTATTTTTCTAAAAAAAAAGGTTAATAAATTTTCTTATTGGTCAAAACATACTTAAAACCCCTGACGTTTTCTCATTTTTCACGGGAAAAAGAGTTCTCACCGGAACCAGACTCTATAAATATATTTGTTATATACATATAGTAAAAATGAATAAGTTAGTCGAAGAAAAATGTTCGTGTATTATTCTATATTATAATTCCTTTTTAAACTTTTTCTTTCATTCCTTTAGTTTGGATTTTTAGTTTTTGTATGATTTCGAGTCCCCTAACATTCCTCTGTCCCTTTCTCTCTACTTAATAAAATTTCGTTAAATGATTTCTCACATTTACCCCGCCATTTTTTGTGGTTGCCTATCGGGTTAAAATAGATGAATAAGTTGTACTATAAGTTGGGCATCTATACATTTACCCCGCCATTTGGTACGTTCCTCTTCCCTTTATTTAATAAAAAATTATTTTAAAAAATAAATACGAATAAGTAGTGTTCTTGATAATTAATTTGATAAAACTTTAACTTTTTTTTTTAAATTTGAATAAATATAAGTAGAAAGTGTGGACAACTTAAGAATGTCGAAGTATATATTATTTTATTCCATTTGTGAAAATATTTGTAAACCACTCTACATCTTTTTAAAGGTTATTACATTTTAATTTTTTACACTTTCACTTCAATTTGTTTCATTTTTCTATTTTTTATTTTAACGTATTAAAATTATTTAACTATGTTTGGAGTTATACTATTTTTATATTATTACTACACTGTTTTTCAAGTTCATACTCCCTCCGTATCAAATTACTTGACCCACTCACCCACTTTCCTTTTTTGGTGTATCAAATTAATTGACCCATTTCCCTTTTTGGAAAGAATCCCATTCAAAAAGCAGATACAGTACTGCTACAGTACCGCTATAGTGTCGCTACAGTACCAAAAATCTCTTACTTTTAATAAAGTCTACAGTAATTGTCTTAAACTGCGTGAAAAGCAAATGGGTCAATTAAATTGATACGGAGGGAGTATGAATTTTTATAACATTAATCAATTGTTTTAATTTATTTAAATAGTGTGTGAGAGCAAGTTAATTAAAATAACTTAATTGGCCGTTTTTGAAAGTAAACACACTTATACGATACTTTTTAGTATAGAACACATGTGATGAGCTGGAAATAGTAGAAGAACCGATTTAGTCTTTTTCCGGGTTTTTCCAAAATAATGATAAATAAAAACATATTTATGAAATTAGGAGCATGTAAATAATATTTATCAAAATAGTGATAGGATGAACCATGGTTATTTGAGAATTGAGAGAATTAATTTATGATTTGTTTTATTTTTTGTAGAGCTAGAATACAAAAAATGAATATACCATTTTTGTTGTTGCGTTATACAAAGTCGTGTTATCTTCAACATGATTTTTTACTCTTCAAAAAATGTTAATGCTTTCCTTTCAATATAACCCCCTCTTCCAAAAAAAAGATAATGAAAACGAATATGCATGCCGTTTCTTCATAAGTAATCACGAAACTCAAAGTTATTCATTATAAAGACAAGAAATCAGGCATAAAATCAGGCTGTTATTTCTAAGACAAGACTTTATGAATTAAAGAGGACATGTTTTCTAAAAGAGACGACGTAAAAACGATTTCTTTATAGTATTAGCTTACGGGCCACAAACCTATTTACGTACTTAAGAACACTACCCGCCTTTTTCTAGCTAGACTTGTTGCATATGATAGAGACTAAAGGGTTAGGGGTCTGATTGATTTTCATTATCTCAGAATGGATTTTCTACTAATGAAAGGAACTATTCAATTAAAAATAGAAACTTACATGAAATCAAAATTGCTTGGCCAGTCCCGGTATCAAATAAAAGTTGTAATTCTTATATGCACACATTAAAAGTTGTAATAATCTTGAATTATATTAGAATTATAATTTATATTACTCCTAGTAATTATCTTTTGTAACTTTGAAGTACTTTATCATTTCATTATAAACATGACAGCCACGCCTAGTAGTTCGGTAAGACTGTTATTATATTGCTCTAACCTAAGTAGCACCGGGACGGATACGGAAACGGAAACGGGGACGGAAACGGGGACGGGGAAACTCTAAACTCAAAATATCAAGATACGGGTACGGCAAGGAAACGCCGAACAAAAAATTAATTTTTTACTAATATAGGTAATATTTACATCCAACAAACACGAAATAATTAAACCAAACATATGTCCTTGGTATTAATACTTTGTACATGCATAATACTAGTAAATAAAATGAAAAAGTAAATGTTTCAATAAACACACTCTCAAAGAACCACTTACCTTTGTACGTTCTGAACTTTAGGATAAATAAATATAGGAAGCACTAACCCACTAACCGGAAACAATCAATCTGACGCCTCTCACCCAAATACGGAAACCCCACCTGTCCAGACTCCAGTGAAGTGAGCGAACCACCAGATGACACCAATCACCAACTTCAGCCGTCGACTCGTCCAGGCAGTCCAGCAGACCAACAGTTAAACCTTGAAGTCTGAAATCCGAATCTACCCTTGTGGCTTTGCTCTTCCCGTTGAGTGGTGTACTCTTGCGGTGTTGCTGATCGAGGATACGCAAGTCGCAACGCCGCGAGTATTTTTTAAAAACCAAGAAACGCGAATGATTGTCGACCCTGTTTTTTTTTTTTTAATATACAAGAAACGCGCCTTCCCACCTCAAATCCCGTTTCCGAAACGTTTCCCCAACCCGGCCCAAAAGCCCAAGAGCTCAGAAACGTATCCAGACGTTTCCCTGCCGTTTCCGGGCGTTTCCCGGCGTTTCGCGTTTCCGAAACGTTTCCGGGACGGAAACTGCACCCTGATTGACGTTTCCGTGCTTCCTAGGCTCTAACCGTTATTTTATTACACTCAAAACATGTTTTTTCAAACCAATAAAAAAAGATAAATCTCCCCATTCCTCAATCGCATATATGCGGCCTTTGAATTTAATTTGGTCAAAAGAACTTGAGACTAATAACCCCCAAAATCCTCGAGGTATGTACAAATTAAATTTGACATTTGTGCATTCTATCTGAGATTCCATATCTATACATATGTACAGTATGAACATAGAACTTATGACCAGTAATGATTAAAATAAAAACAACACTACTTAAGATATACGGGGACACGGAGTATATGATTTTAATATGCAATATAATGGATGCATTAGTAGTAACGATATTGATCATGTTAAGTGTTCATAAAATCGTAGTTATTTATAATAACTGTAATGGTGTGTGACAATATGAAGTATTCATATATAAATTCAATTCCAGAAATATTATATGAAAATTATGATTAAGCCAGTAAGGTGCCTACGGGCGTAGCTAGGCGAGGGCCAGCCATGGCCCTAATCCAGTCCAAATTTAAAAAATGTCTATTATTTTTGCGTAAAAAAGTTTGCATTTAATAAAAAAAAAAATTGTACCGATCTAATGCCCTGGTATCCGCCCCTGAAGGTGCCAAAACTCTTTTGTTTTAGTGGGTATTATAAAAATACCTTAAACTAATAATTACACTACATCTACATGAAAGCTATACTGACAGAAGTATATATATACTTCTTATGTCGATTTGAACCGGTGGACGTAGCTCAACTGGTAGTGAGGGAGTGCCACAAGAATTACGTCTCGGGTTCGAATCTCGACAACTGCGATGAGAAGTTACTCAACATAGGGCAGGGGCGGATCCATATGGTAAATAGTGGGGGCACATGCCCCCCAATAAAATCTGAAATTTTTATATAAATAGTTGCATTTTGGTAAATAAAGTAATAGTGCCTCAATGAAAAAGAACGAGTGCCCCCAATGAAAAAATAGAGTGCCCCCATTAACTCTTATCTTCATACACGTATTGAAGCACTCTTTTCTTTCTTTCTTTTTTTACTCCAGCGGCGTCTGGGGGGCTGGGGGAGCCTGGAGAAATCTAGGCTGAAACTCACTCCATTGAATTTCAAATTTGAGACCTCTCGTAAGGGAGAGTGAGTGAGCGACTAGCTGGGCTGGACCGCCTCCTCGTATCGAAGCACACTCTCAAAGAGGAACTGATGATCTACTTTTGCATAATTTCTGTTCTTCCTTTTTATATTTAGTTAGTGCGGAGTAATTGTTGATTGTAATTTTAAAATTTTAATTTGTACTCCTCAGGGCTCCACCTATAAACAATTATCTTTTTTTTTTCAATTTAGTTTGTTTTAAAATAATTGACTTTTTTATTTTTGGCTTTGTAAAAAATATGTGTTCTATACTTTTTTACTTTTTATACTTATATCTCGATCAATTCTTTTACTTTTTCAACCACTTGATTTATAAGTATACAAATTCAAAAAAGAGTATTGTATGTTTTAAATTTGATGTATATTTAAACAATATTTGTACCATTCTATTCAGTGAATGCCCCCAATAACATTTTTTCCTAAATCCGTCACTGACATACTATCATCTGCAAGTACCGGGGACAGAGCCCCACTCTCTATATGCCAGATTGTGATTATAGTCCAATTTACATCCTCACATCGTGGCGTCCGGTTGGTGTTGAGGACCCTCAGTGATAGGGTGTCATCCTCTTTTATTCTTATAGGAAATTAGGAATTTTGAATACACTGTGCAAAGAAAGTCAAAATTTATGAGAGAAAGCGGCAAAGCGGAAACATAAAAGTTACTCTGCACTACGTAAAATGGAATAAATAAGGTTACTATAGATGGAGCAAATTTTAACGAATCTACCCCTATAAAAAATAAATAAGCTAATAGGGAGTATTGTAAATTTAGAGTCCGTTTCGTAGCACGATAATCGGCTGATTTGACTGTAAATTTATGAATTTTTTGCTGGAGTGGCTACATTGGTTGATTCTGCTTATTTAAAAAGAAATTATTCTTAAAATATATTTTATTAATAAAATAAAGAAAAAATTATATGTAAAAATAGCTAAAATGGTCGTCTACAGTAAATTTAGCCAATACAGTCAGAAAAGTAACTTCAACCTTAATTTTTCTGCTTGTTACACAATTCAGTGCGTGAAAGCAAAAGTTACGTGTTTGGTGAAAATTTGACTAATAAATCTAATAAATCGAAAAACAGTCATGTATGAGTGTATGACGCCTTCGATCTCTTACACCAAGGTAAATTCTATGGTACCCATAAGGTACCATACCTTTGTCCACATGGACCAATGACAATGTAGCAGTTGAATTATTTAAATCTAAACAAAAAATGATAAAGTGATGTGGTCCAATCAAATGAATGATAGGTACGGTACCTCATATTTTAGAAAGGTACCGGAGTTGTCATCTAACTCCATTAGTGGATTAATTAAAGTCAAAAGGCGGAGGGATCGGAACTCTCCATTAGTTTTCTCAACGTAGATGCCTGCGATCATACTCATTTTTATTTACGACTCCGTACTACGTAGTTCGGATTGTGACGACTAGAAGTTATAAAAATGTAGGGAAAATGGAACATTTGTAACCATTATAAATATTTCCTCTATCCCAAAATGAAATTTCACATATGCTTTTTGGGAGGTTCAAAAATGAAATTCCCCATATAACTTCTTTTTATATTTGGTAAATTTTTATTATTCATGTATTATCTTACCATCACGTCATTTCCTTGATGTGTGTTACCATCATTTCACTATTCATTACATTCTTTATGATACTCATTTTTGAAAATTTAACTACACCTTTTAATTACCCAATGACATTTTTGGAAATTTAACTTTATTTCCTATTCTACTTTTTTTTTCATGATCGAAGTCAAACTACGAACTTCATTTCAAAATGGAGGGAGTAGTTAATACTACCTCCGTTCCAAAAAGGTTCGTCGTATTGATTTTTCTTGATCAATGATGACGAACTTTGGACAATAGTTTTAATCATTATATTTATATAAAATTTATAAATTTTATACTTTTATGAAAATATATTGAATAAGGAACATTTTGATATAATTTTCATACTCTAAATAATTTCGTAATAAAATACTATCGCACATCATTAGTCAAAATTGATTCTCGTTGACCAGAAAAGGTCAATTTGGCGAACATTTTCGGAACGGAGGGAGTAATATATTTCCGACATTCAAATTGACATAAATTAAATTAAATAATAATTTATGCATAATAATTTGATTATGTATATTAGTATAAAATTAATCATGATCAAAGTAAGGTGTGTGAATAGTGAAAATATTATTAAAGAGCGGAGAAAGTATTAATAAAAAATTTCCCCATAATATTACTCAAATAAACCTTATGAAAAAATGTGATTATTGTTCGCATTGAGATGTTGAATGAGTATAGTGTTATAGCAATTACAAGTAAAATTGAGCATAGGCATTGCCGCATTGAATTGTACTATACGGAGTAACTAAAACTCTAATTAATTCGTATATTTTTGTTGTCATTTGTATTTTGGCCATATACGGAGTGTAAGTTAATTTTTTCCTAATAATATATTCTGTGTGTGCAATGATTTTTTAATGCAGAACAATAAATTCTAATCCGTTTATGTATCATATGAATGATTTTAGTTAAATAATGTGTATGCATACATTCAGCCTAAAGTGTCAATTTCTTACGGAGTATAACTTTAATGATCGTATATGTAACCAATTTTTTTTATTTCCAAAAAGATCCCAAAATATGTATATATGCAAGTGTCATTAATTAATTTACTAAAGAAAACATACCAAAAAGTAAATTACATTGTTGGTTTGAGTGCATATTTTTTTTTTGACTAATTCCATACCTTTTTGCTGAAATCACTCTTATCGGATAATTCCTATTTAGTAAATGTGTCGAGCTTCAATTCAAGATGTCCAGCCCGCTCTATATATAAATAGATATTGTTCCATCAGTTTAAACACACTCCATCTCAAAACTAACACTATGGAATTACCGCATCATTTTCCTATGTTCCATGTACACTCCATCTCTCTGAGCTACTCTTATTTAATTCATTTATTCTCTGATCATATTCTCCATCGACCTACTATTAATTAGATAGGTCGATGGTACATAGATAACTACTCTCTTCGTCCCCGAAAGAAGTTCCTCATTTGACTTTCACACACTTTTATGCAAGTAAATTTACCAGAGGGTAAATTTTACTGTTTTCACACTGTTTCGACACTGTTTGACACTGCTTGACACTGTTTTGCATTGTTTGGCACTAGATAACTTTCCATTTAAGGAAATGGAAACTTAAGGAAAGTGAGAATTTCTTTCGGAGACGGAGGGAGTATAAGTTTACACAAATTAAGTATTTGTAGTTATTTATTTATTTTTCGGGGGTCTTTATTTACAACCTCTCACTGACTCGATCTACCACTGGCATATACGACTTTCCCAAATTTCAAATAATCTTAAGTATTAGTATGGAGTATAGGAGATCATGTAAAATTATACAGAGTATCCAAGAAAATTATGTGTACCAGCTTGGCTTGATCAAGTGTCTTGATTGTCTTTCCGATTTAATTTTTAGTTGAATTTTTGTATGAATAAACTAGACTTGATGAAGAACGTGTCAGAAAAATTTCATCAAAAAAATTCGTCAAGAAGGGCCTCAAACGCCACCGTGCGGACGGCAGTTCCGGTCAGAATGGCCTAACCGGAAGATTACTCTCTCTCTCTCTCTATATATATATATATTAATATATATATACAGAAAAGATCAGGTCCCTCCGGAGGGACGGGAGGGACCGTCCGAACTTTACTGTTTGGGGAAGTTCCCGGTGGAATTTTTTGATGAAATTTTTTGAGCATGTTCCTCATCAAGTCTAGTTTGTCCATACCAAATTTCAGCTCAAAATTCGACCGGGAAGGCAGTCAAATAAATTCTTGAAGCTTACTGCACATTCTGCGCATATATAAATTGCAGTAAGTTTCAAGAATTTATTTGAATGCCTTCCCGGTCGAATTTTGAGCTGAAATTTGGTATGGACAAACTAGACTTGATGAGGAACATGCTCAAAAACATTCATCAAAAAATTCCACCGGGAACCGTCCCAAACAGTAAAGTTCGGACGGTCCCTCCCGTCCCTCCGGAGGGACCTGAGCAGTCCTCAATATATATATATATATATATATATAGAGAAGTGATCAGGTCCAGCCGGAGGGACGGGAGGGGCCGTCCGAACTCCGCCGTTTGGGGCGGTTCCCGGTGGAATTTTTTGATGAAATTTTTTGAGCATGTTCTTCATCAAGTCTAGTTTGTGCATACCAAATTTCAGCTCAAACTTCAACCGGGAAGACATTCAAATCATTTTTTGAAGTTGACTGCGCCAAAATATACATATAAAAATGCAGTCAACTTCAAAAAATGATTTGAATGCCTTCCCGGTCGAATTATGAGCTGAAATTTGGTATGGACAAACTAGACTTGATGAAGAACATGCTCAAAAAATTTCATCAAAAAATTCCACCGGGAACCGCCCCAAACGGCGGAGTTCGGACGGCGGCTGGACCGGGGAGGGCTGGACCTGATCTTTTTTGTATATATATATATACTTCGTATATAGAATTGTCTTTCAATTGATGAATGAACATGAATGTTTCATTGTTAGATTTGGCTTCTTGTTTTGGCAATGCTGTGGATGTGTTGTTGTAGTTCATCAAGCAGTGGGGGAGCAAACGCAAAGTCGTACTTAGCAGTAAATTGCCGGAAACACAAGTTTAACTTGACGGAATTCGGAGGTGTCGGCGACGGAAAGGCCCTAAACACAGAGGCATTTGGCAAGGCTATAACTCACCTCAGCCAGTATGCTTCTGACGGTGGTTCCCTGCTCATTGTTCCCGCCGGGACATGGCTGACTGGCCCATTCAATTTGACCAGTAATTTCACCCTTTATCTCGATAACGGTGCTGTTATTCTGGCCTCTCAGGTACATACATAGACATAGGATCGAATAAAAGTTCCTCCTAATTTATAAATTATAAACTCATCTTAATCATTCGTTGAATTATTCTAAAAGTTGGAATCGCCCGGTTGTATTTTGACAATAAAACTTTACTCTTTTGGGATATAAGATAATATGTATGGAATTGTTGTTTCATCGTAAAATAACATGCAACACTTTTGAACCTTAATATAAAAAATGTACAAATACGGTAAAGAGCATCTTACAAACGTTTGCACAATAAGAGCAATTTGTCTCATATCCGTCCCCATGTAGGTACCGGTAAGATCGTAGAATTTCTAGTAGATCTTGAGATATTTTATCTGTCTCATTATATATCTTTTTTTTTTAAATTTCATACAACTATTACAATATTACTAAAGTGATTAAATAGTAAAAATATGATTGAAATTTGAGTATAATAAAGTGAAATGATATGATAAATGAATTGCATATTTCTTGCAAAAAATATACTACGTACGTAGTATATTTATTTTTTGATAACTCATAAAAGAGAAATCAGACATAAAATGAGACAGAAACTATTTAAACATAACATTTTTATTATAGCTTATAATTATTTTTACATAAAGATACACATGTAAGAATATTGGGGGGAAACGCCTCTTATACGGAGTAGTTTCCTATAAAGCCGACCCTCGGATCCCTCGATCACTATTCCATTAATTATTCCAAGCACATGTTTAATTGATGAAAATATCTGTTTTTACCCATCTTTTAATTTGAATAGAATAAAAAATATTTCTAAAAAATTAGGTCAAAATTAGGAAACACCTTTTGACTATTGATTTAGAGAAAAATGAAGGCTATGACCACATCAACGTTTAAATAGGAATCGTGCGCCTAGATCACACCGCCTCTCTCAAGAACTATCAACAGACTTTTGGAACCCTAATGCTTTGAACCACTGACTCATTTGGACTCATTATGTTTGGCATCACATCGGCCTTGGAGTTTATCACGCAGCTGGATCGAGTCGGCCCACTACGGATCCGACTTTATCGTTTTATTTCTTTTGGCTTGTTTACTTTTATTTCTTTAGCCTTTTTACTTCTTGTTTTTACTTTTAAATGTTCCCCGACATTTACCCTATCATATCTGGTGGTTTTTTCGGGATAAAAAAAAGGAATCGTGAGCCTAGAGTCGTAGTAATTTTAACCACATTTTTACAAATAATTTTTTTTGTATTTTTTTGTTTTAAAAGACCTTTGAATACTCTAAATTTTTTTTTTAAAGAAAGCACCTAGTTAATTGGGTATACATAAAAAATTATGGAAATTAAACAAAATATGGAGGCCTTTCCCACAACCTATATCACTTCCCCAGCACTACCACAAACGATCCGTATAAAAGCCATCTTATGTAAACTATGTCGTTTTATTTGAAAATGCTAAATCTTTCTCCTAAACTACTATCGAGAAGGCACTATTGACGCTTGTTGGCATTTTTCGGTGACCGGAGCTAGTGGTAATAGGAGGGTGCTGAGGCGGAGGTAGAGGTCTGTATATTTTCTTTATTTCTTAGCTTACTCTGTGTGCTTTTATATGGGAAAATTCCTAAAATAGGAATAACAAATTTGAAAATTCTAAAATGAGATTGTCATGTTTTTTTCCCCAAAATAGGAGTAATCACTGTCAAGTTTGGAAAATATTGTCATATTTAAAGTCTGGTAGTGCCAAAACAAGCAATAATTAGTCCTATTTTCAGAATAAAAACATGATAGTCATATTTTGGAATATACAAACGTTTTTAGTCCTATTTAGAGTAATTTCCCATTTTATTTTCATTTTCATTTTAAAATACTTTTACCTTTTTATTTTTTTATTTTATAATCATTATTTTTTTTAAATAATTTCATTTAATATATATTTCATGTTTTTTCCCCAATTTTATTATAAAAATAAAATTATTTATTATTTTATGTTTTAATTGTTAATAAAAATATGAAATTTATTAAAGCATGAAAAGGGTATGATTGGACATTTACTCCTATTTAGAGAATTTAAAAGCTATACTCCTACTCTTGCAATTTAAGCTCCATTTAGTACTATTTGTAGAATTACTCCATTAAAATGAGTAGAATTATTTGTATCATATATTTGCAAATTTGTACGACATAGATTAGAAGCCCACATTAATACTACATATAAGTTAGTACTCCCTCCGTCCTAAATTAACCTCTCACTTTCCTTTTTGGGCAATCCCGAAATACAGTCTCATTTCCTTATTTGTCAAACAATATATATCAAAACAAACTGTCAAACAATGTCAACAGTGTCAAAACAGTGTTCTCTACAGTAAAATTTACTCTCTAGTAAATTTATTTCCATAGTAAGGATAAAATCAAAGTGTAACCTTAAATATGGGACGAAGGGAGTATAAGACAGAATAAATAAAAGTGTGCTGCATTTAGATGGATGCATTTCATGCAGTGGCGTATCTACTATGGGGGCAGCGGGGCAGCTGCCCCCACTCAACCCCAACCCAACCCCTATATATATGTCCAAATTTTTTCAAGAAATTACTCAAATTAAGAGTTAAATGTAGAAAAAAAAATTCTAAAATAGGATTAGAAGTGTTTTCTTTAATATTAAAAGAATGAAAGGCTAAAAAATTCACTAAATTATGTTATGTTTAAGACTGTTTAACTTATATTTAGGTAAATTTATTACATTTTATTTGCAATTACATCTTTACACACTCGTAATATAAATTAATCTTCTTTTTTAATACTTGTACATAGATATTATAAACTAAATTTAATCAAACAATATTAATAATGTGATTTGTTATTTGTGAAATATGAGACTAAATTATTGTAGTCAAGTTTGCCCCCACTCGTCAAAGTTTCTGGATACGCTACTGATTTCATGTATATTTATCTCTATATATCATATCTTCTAATATTTATAGATATTTCATATTGATCGAATAGAAAGTAGAAGATTATCAACTCATTGCCGCATTGCCATCTTACGGAAGGGGTAGAGATGCTCCGGGAGGCAGGTTTATAAGCCTCATCTTTGGAACTAACCTCACCGATGTTGTCATTACTGGTAAATAATTAAATTATTGTTGTTAATAATGATTAGTCTTAACCGCTAATTAAAGCCCACAGAATGTTTTCGGACTAATTTGCCAGTTGAATCAATAACAATGAGTTCCATCATCTTTATTGTTAAATCAATAACACTAATCAAATAGAAAAACGAGATTAACAAATTAAACGAGCTCTTATATTAATAGAAATTCTCTCAAAAATGAATACGAAGTATAACATATATTGCATAATGTTATGAGATGAATTGTTTTACTCGCTCTTATAAGATGACGTACTTTTTTACTATTTGATTGTTTCGTTTGGATAAACGTAAACCTGTTTTGATAACAAACATTAATTAGTCGTATTTCTGAATTATGTATGTATATGTGTATTCCCATTTTCAGAAAATTCTTTTATATTTATTGCTTTCCAGGATACGACATTAAGGTTTCCATGTTGACTTTCCAGGATGTTAAAATACAGATTTGGTCATTATTATATGAAATAATGATGTATATATAACTAAAGTAGAAGCCGTAGATATAAAGGCGTGAATTTCTTCTATTTTAATTATTATAATAGAAGAAAATATTAGTATTATAATACTAAGGGAGAATTTGACTTTGCACCCCATGTTTTGGGTGATATTTGACTTTGCACCCTATTTTCAAAATCATTAATGTATGCACCACAATTCACTATAAAATCATTTAACTTTGCACCCCACTCCTTCACAATTTTTGGGTTAATGGAGTGCATACATTAATGATTTTAAAAATGAGGTGCAAACACAAATATCACGAAATATAGATTCATCATTTTTTTACGGTCCTTTTACTCTTTTAGTTTTCCTTTTAATGAGTATTCAATTAATTTGAGTATAAGTATATGGATTGAAATTTTTTTTACAATTTTTTATATTAATGTAGGGCCCCGATTTTACATTTAGAACCGGGGCCTCCAAAATCATTAGATGGTCCTGTTAGTGATCATGATGATATTTAGTTTTGCACTTTCGTATGATGATAGTATAGTCTTAGTAACTTTTATAATTAGGGACACTTTTTATTCATAAGTTCTACTACAGTACTACGTATATTTGAATACATGTGTACTAAAATTGTTATAGTTTGATATTCAACAATATAACTTAAAACAAATTCGACAATAGTCATAAAGTTGTATGATATAAAAAACGAGTTTATATACCAATTCAAACCCCTTCATGATATATATATTTAGCACATGAGTTCCATGTGATTTAAAAAATGTGTTAAATTCTCTTGCGTTATAATTATGAGATCCCTATAATTATTCATGCGAAAAACTCCTTTCAAGATCAAGTTTTACAATTTTGAAATCATTTATCTTAATAATATAATTGTATATGTAAGCAAAATTTTTAACATTTTTAAATTATACAAAAATACTAATCACTTTTCATATATTCGGAAATTAAATTTGTTCGTATAAGAGATTTTGCGCATGAATACCTACATAGAATAACACATGAAAGTTTGATTCATTTTTTAAATCACATGTGCTAATGTGTGAATAAATCCTATAAAATACTGGAATTTGATTCGGTTCATGAAAATCATAGCTAGTCAACATTAGTTACATTAGTAATTTATATGAAAATAGAAAACAATAACTGTGTTTTATTTATCAGGTGAAAATGGAGTAATAGACGGTCAAGGACAGCTATGGTGGCAGATGTTTAAGAACAATACGTTGAAGAATACAAGGCCTTATCTCATTGAGATTATGCATTCTAGTCACATCCAAATATCAAATCTCAAATTAGTGAATTCTCCATCATGGGTTGTTCATCCCGTTTACAGCAGGTTCATATACATATATCTTCTGTGTATATTCTGATTATGTTCATCATCAATTCTATTCCTCAATTGAATAGGTGGCGTGATTAGGGAGTTAGGATGATATATCAGATTGAGTCGATAGGAAAAACTTAAAATTATACTTTTCTTTTGAATTAAAATTGCCTATATGAATATCATAATAATCATAATCTGTATATCAGACGCAAAATCAATACTTTTCTTCGAAATCGTGAATTTATACATTATTTTTTACAAAAAAAAAAAACCTACAATTAGTTACATTAAGATTTCAACTAATTGTGATCACCTAAGATTTGAGATTTTGATATGTTTTTCTGTTGCCAACACCCGCTTGCAGTGACATTATAATTGAACATTTGACAATTTCTGCCCCCTTGGATTCCCCGAACACGGATGGAATTAATCCAGGTCTGGTTTTACAAATTATTGTTACCGGTTTCTTTCATTCTTATCTAAATACTCCGTATAATGCGTAGTAATAAGTTGTATGCAAGCTCATTTTGAATTTGACGTTATTTCCGTACGTAGGTAGTACACATTTGGGATGGCATGGTATCTTATGTAATACGGAGTCAACCCTGCTATAAGTACCCCAATTGGTATCCCAATTTGTACCACAACCTATTTTTGTGACTCACAAAAGTCCACCTCAATAAATGAATTGCCCCACTTTAATGAAGTGCTTTTGTGAGCCACAAAAATAAGGTGGGGTACAAATTGGGGTATCAATTGGAATACCTTTAGCATTTTTCATACGGAGTATGTACCTTTGTTCATACTAGCTAGATGGCAACATTTGGAATTTCATAATTGACTCTGAGTTCTGACATGTCAATCATATCTAAATGATTTAAGAAAAATGTATTTTAAAAAAGTGACAACTCCGGTACCCATTTAAAAAATGGGGTATCGTACCTACCACTCACATGATTGGTCTAAATCATTAAATCATTTTTAATTTAGATTTAAATAATTCAACTGCAACATTCTGATTGGTTCAAGTGGACAAAGGTATGGTACTTTTTGGATACCATAGAATCTACCTTTTAAAAATCATATTTTAAAATTTTACTTCAAGAGACAATTTACAATACTTTTCATTAAATAATTTGTAAAACATTATGTCAAAGTACTGGAGTATGTGCAAATGTGCAATTGTGCATCGTAAAAAGAAATTGAGGATTCAAGAATCAAGTGCATATATAGTGTGTAAGAAGGGTTCGGCTGCTTTATCATTTCTCCTCTATCCTTTCTTTTTTACTTCCTATTTATCTTTACATTTTTCTCTATCCTACTCTAAACCTACCCCCCTCAATTTTCTCCTCTCTATATCTCTCATAATGGAACTCTCCAATCACCGGAGAGGATCCAAATTCGTGTAAGAAAAGTGTAAAAAAGTGAGCAAATAGTGCCCTGATTTTTTTACTAAATAGTACCCTGATTAGAAACACTTAGTACGAAGTATTACGTATTCCCTCCGTCCCAAAAAACTTTGTCATTTTTCTATTAAAACAACTAATTTGTGGTTCTACACATTTCTCTCTCCTCTGCACAAATCTCAACCACATAATTTTTATTATTCTTATTTCTCACCTACTTTGCACTTGGCAAAGTCCACCAGGATAGAGGTAGTAGTATTTACAATTCATGTCCCATTAATAATGATTTTGATTGTTTACTACTCCTATATTGGCTGGAACTAGAATTTTAAGAAAGAATTTCTTAAATAAGAGTGAACTATACAAAGTACTTTTTATTTAGACTATTTTACATTCGAGATTAGATCAAACCAGACTTAAACATACTAGGAAGCCGTTTGGAATCACTGTTTTTCGGCTTATCAGGCTTATCAGCCAACTTTTTCACCAAACGCGTAACTTTTGCTTTCGCGCGCTGAATTGTGTAATAAGCAGAAAAGTAAGGTTGAAGTTACTTTTCTGGCTGTTTTGGCTGAAGTTACTGTAGATGATCATTTTAGCTATTTTTACATATAATTTTTTCTTTATTTCATTAATAAAATATATTTTAAAAATATTTTGTTATTAAATCAGCAGAATTAGCCAATGCAGCCACTTCAACCAGAACTTCATAAATTTCAACAGAATCAGCTAAATCAGCCGATTTTCGTTCTACCAAACGGGCTCTAGATCAAACCAAACTAGACTTCCATAGTTATAAAATAAACAGAAACAAGACATTTATCAGACCGGACCAATCTAGTTCAGACCAGATCAAATTTAAATAGACCAGACCAGACTAGTACTAAAATTTCTCAAATATGAGGTTTGTTTTGTTCTAAAATATTAGTATAGCTCTTATTATGACTTTCTAATTGATGGTTACAGATTCTTGTTCAAACGTGAGAATATGGGACAACTGCATTCAATCCGGGGACGATTGTGTGGCAATAAAGAGCGGTTGGGACGAATACGGGACCAAATTCAACATGCCGTCCCGCCAAATCTCCATCAAAAGACTCACCTGCGTTTCCCCCACCAGCGCCACCGTCGCCATCGGCAGCGAAATGTCCGGCGGGGTGGAGGACGTCAGGGCGGAAGATATCACGGCCATCAATACCGAGTCGGGCATAAGGGTGAAGACCACCCTCGGCAGGGGAAGCTACGTGAGAGACATCTACCTCAGGAACGCCACGTTCCTGAAGTGGATGAAGTACGTGTTCTGGGTGACGGCGGATTACAGTAAGAAGTCTGACCACCCTGACGATAAATATGACCCAAAAGCCATCCCGAAGGTAACGGGGCTGAGCTTCTCAAATATCACGGCTCAGAACGTGACGTACGCCGGGAAACTTGTTGGGCTGAAGGCCTCCCCTTTCGCAGACATTTGCATATCTAACGCCACCATTGCTATGCATATAGACAATGACAAAAAAGATGAGAATAAAAAAGAACCCTGGAATTGTACGAATGTAGCCGGTAAGTGGAGCTCTGTCACTCCCCCGCCGTGTAGCCTACTTGTGAAAACGCCCGGTCTTCAGTGCGGATTTCCCAGTGACAGACTTCCTATCGAGAATGTAAAATTCCAGAGTTGTCCTCTGTACGGCATAAAATAAGATAATGGCCTCTAATCTGCATGTTCTTCAGAATTACTATGCTTTATCCATTCCTAAACTTCAGCGAACCTTATTTCGATGTTTTATGTGTTCTGCTCTAAAGTCTAAAGTTTAATACTAGTATCAAAATGTTTTTTGTGTTCTGCTCTAAAGTTTAATATCAAAATGTTTCATCTGTTCTGTTAAATGTCCCACACCGGAAACATTTGGATGAACGAAGTGCTATATTAATACATGGGATACTCCTTCTATCACGTTGACCTTTTAAGATGGAACCCCAGGTCTTAACATGTTAATCTCTAAAGTTTAATATCAAAATGTTTTATGTTCTCAGCTCATAAGTTTAATATCGAAATGTTTTGTGTTCTGCTCTAAAGTTTGTTTGTTTCGTCAACATTAAGGGGCCAGTGTGTTTGGGTTTTGGTTTTTGGGAATCGAAGGAGGAGAAGACATCTCAGGGTTGACCATCACTCTCCAGTTCGTGTGTTTGGGAGTTTAACAAATCTGGAGGAATAATTTTGAAAGGTCTTCTTCATCATGGACAAACCCCTTTTAACTTTTAAGTGGCTCTAAAATGAGGATTTTGAATGATAACTAATTAAGTGATAATTTAAGCTATATTTAAAATGAATATCAATTTAAGACTAAGAAAAAAACATAGGTTTTTCCCCAAAATAAGACTTAATGTTTGGTTTTCCATAAATAGGACAAACCTTACCTTTTTTTACCCCTAATTCTATTTAATTAGTTAAAATTGATCCAAATAATTACCCCCCTTAGTGTCCTTGCACAACCAAGGCAGTTTGTCGGTGGCGGCAGCACTTCGGCAGCTGGTAGGCGGCGGATTCCGATGGTGGCGGCAAACTCCGACAATTAATTAACCCAATTATTTGACCCCCCCCCCCCCCCCCCCCCGTTCTCTTGCACAACTAAGGGCCTGTTTGGATGGAGTGTTTGGAAGTGTTAGTAATGGAAGTGTTAGTAAGGGCTCGGAAGGGAAGGGAAGTGTAAGTGTTAGACATAATTTTACCTTGTTTGGAAGAGTCAAATGAATGAAGTGTTAATAATGGAAGTGTTAATAATTTTACCTTGAGGCAAAAGAAACGAGTAAAGAGAAGAGATGAAAAAACAAACCATCAGACCCGTGGGAAAGACATTTGAAGTGAAATGTCAAAGTATTTTATGTTTTTCGGGTAAATGAGAAGGGTAATAATTGTCCAACACCTCAAAACACTCCAAATCGGGGTGTTAAAAAAATGGACAATTGAGGTGTTGGGAAGGTTATTATTATCACTTCCTAACCATTACTAACACTTCTTAACACCTCTGGATTTTTCTCCCAAACAAGTGTTAGCATCAACACTTACTAACACTTCCATTACTAACACTCCTCAACACTCAATCCAAACAGGCCGTAAGCAGTGGCGGGCAGAGGGGGGTGACAAAGGGGGGCTGCTGCCCCTCCAAAAAAAATTGATGTATTTACCCCGAAATTTTTAATGTATATGTATTTGTATGTATATTTTTGTACTGTCGCCCCTGCTACCGGAAATTCCTGCGTCCGCCGCTGCAACCAAGGCAGTCCATTGGTAGCGGGGCAGTCTGGTGGTGGCGGCAGCTCGGCGACGGTAGATTCTGGCGGCGGACTCTGGCTGTGGCGGCGACATAAATATTGGCATAACTCCAGGAAAAAATTATGAAAAATTTTCCGGCGGTGGTCACCGGAGCTCCAGCGGCAGCGGGCGGCGATAGTCCGGTGGCGGCTGCAGGTGGTCGGCGGTTGGCAGCACTCCAGGGGAAGAAGTGGGGGTATTATTGTCCAATCACACATAAAAAGTGTTATTTAACAATGTTTAAACTAATTGGTCCTATTTTGGGGAAAATGTCATGTTTTTGCTTTGATAGAGTGTTATTTATATTCTGTATTATTTCTATTTTAACTAGTTTTATTTGTTGTTGTTTGGAAAATTACACACTTTTGGTGTAATTAGTTAAGTTTCTTAGATAGATGTAATTTGTTTAGATTAAGATTATTCTGAGCTTAAAACAGGTCAAGATCATCCAAAGGATCAAGTTTGGACCCCAAAAGATCAAGGAAAGTGCAAGAGGACAAGATAAAAAGAAGATTGAAAAAATATTTCATATACCCGGTCGGGTATAGGCAATACCCGATCGGGTATTGAGTTGATTCGGGTGTCAAAATCAGAATCTGGAGAGACAAAAGAACGTGCAGGATTTTGACTTTTTGGCTCATACCCGACCGGGTATGCCTACATACCCGACCAGGTATGTCTAGAAAAGTGATTTTCCGGAAAACTGCCTAAAATACCCGATCATGTACCCTATATACCCGATCGGGTACACAACCCTGCCACATCCAAACACCTATAAATACACTCCTTCTTCCATACTCTTAAGCTTAGTTTAGAATAGTATTTCTTTTATATTTTTATAGCATGTTTAGTCTCCAAATGAGGAGCTAAACTTCCATTTCTTGGTGTTGCTCTTGAAGCTTATTGATTATTAAAGTTGTGAGTTATTTTCTTAACTTCTTCCCTTGAATATTAATTATTCCTTTAATCTATCTATATATTAATGTTGGGGAGTGTTGCTAAGATGAAAATTAGTTAACATCTCGACATTAGTTATAGTAGTATTTATCTTCTTCCTCTATATATTAATGTTGGGGAGTGTTGCTAAAATGACAATTAGATAATATCTTGACATTAGTATAGTAGGATTATTCATATTTAATCTTCTTCCTTGAATATTAATTCTTCCCTTAATTTATCTCTATGTTAATGTTGGGGAGTGTTGCTAAGATGACAATTAGTTAACATCTCAACATTAATTACTACTAGAAACGTTCAACGAACCGATGGTTAATCGTTGATGGTTTCACAAGTAAGTAACTTCGGTTTATTAATGCACAGTCGTGGTTAATAAACTTAAGAGGGATTAATTTTGTTGGTTAAACCGAAACCGTTGTGTTGAGGTTATCAATCTCAATTGATTTCATCAAGGAGTTAAGAGATTAAATGCTACTATCAAGTCGGTATATGATGGTGTTCTATACTTGACTAATAGTAAGGAGAAGACATCTCACGGTTGACCACTCTCCAGTTCGTGTGTTTGGGAGTTTAACAAATCTGGAGGAATAATTTTGAAAGGTCTTCTTCATCATGGACAAACCCCTTTTAACTTTTAAGTTGCTCTAAAATGAAGATTTTGAATGATAACTAATTAAGCTATACTTAAAATGAGAACTCAATTTAATTATGCATCTGTTGAGATAAAAAAAAAGGGAAAAATACCTCAATAATACTAAAACTTATGACTTTTCCTAAAGTATGACTATAACTGTTTTTGTGTCTACCATATGATCAAACATGGATGTCATGCATGGACGCATGAAGTATTTACAGTTAAAGATTGAAAATGTGGCATGTCATTTACCATGATTTAGGGAAAGAAACTACTCTAGTCATACATTGGGAAACTACCCCTCTTTCACTCATATGTGTGTTAATTTTCTCAAAAAAAAAACCTTAGGGCGATGCTCGTAGTTCGTCGATCGGCGTGAGAAGGTTGTCGGAGAAGGCAAGCGGGCGGACGGTTGGTGATCGATAATAGAGCAGGAGAGTCCCATCAGGGCGAGGTTGCTACGGAAGATTCCAAGGGCTGATTTTCGAGGGTGGAGAAGATAGCAGCGGGTATTGTAGTGGGTTATCCAGGTGAGTTTTCTTGGGGCTGGCTTTAGTCTCCAAGTGTTGATGAATTTCTATGTTTATCCTAGCCTGTGTTTTTCCGGCGGCGAGCTCTCGCTTGGTCCGACAGTCTTGGCAAATGAGTATTATTAGTTGGAATTGTCGTGGGCTTGGGAATCCGGCCATTGTACAATGCTTGGTGGATAATATTCAGGCTCATCGCCCGTCTGTGATTTTCCTTATGGAAACAAAAATTCGATGCCAAAGAGCAAAGGCTATACTTCGGGGGCATGCAGTGCCGATCCTACCAAAACTCGGGCCTGAGTCGAACTTAATAAAAGACCCTATACATTATTTTTTTTACTATAATTTTCTTTGAAATTGAAGATTAAACATCATAAAAACGACTAATTAAATAAAAATTACATTAATGTCAAAGTATTCAAATGACTAATAAAGTACAACTCGCCGGGGAGTTTTAGCTGCAAAAGTATTAATTAACTCGACATTCTAGATGTTCAATAAAGTCCTTCTAAACAGATATTTGGTAGGCTATAAATCCTTTTATGGTTTTAAATAGAAAAATATTAGAAATTTAGAAGCTAAGAAAAGAAGATGAAAGATTAACCTTGATGTTGATTGATTAAGTCTATAGATTGGAATAAGGGAATCGCAAATTAACCTTAGTTAAGGCCCTGTTGTCGATCGATTAGTCTAGGCTAGAACAAAAGAATCGCAAATCGTCTTAAAACCCTTTTCCATTTGTACGCTGATGGCTATTCCGCTTCTAAACTGGTCGAACAAAAGTAATTGGGGGACTTTTGGGTTTTTCTTTTTGAAGTACAATAGTGGAGTCAACGGACAAAGGTTACGCAATGTTGGGAAATAGTTTTAATGCAAATAAATGTGGGAAACTAAAGAGTTGCTAGATACACGAAAAGAGTTCCCAGAAAGTTCTATCTTTAATGTTCCAATTAAATGATGTTTCAATGCCTATTATATATAAAGGCATCCTCCTGTAATTCAAAAGCAGAGTTCCTGGGTAGAATATGATTCCCTTCTCATATATCAGCACATAGTGTGTGTGTGTGAGTGTGATTTGATATCTCCAGGTTCTTTCTAACCGGTGCTCTAATAGGCAAAAAGGAAGCCCAATATGTAAATTTAATACATATATATACTAAAGAAATATCTAAAATTGTGGGCCCTAAAATTTTAACAATTTTTTGGACCCTGAGGCAAGTGCCTCATCTGCCTCAAGCACCGCACGGCTCTGGGGGCATGGCTTTGGTCAGTCTGTG